CTTCTCCCCCTCTTCCCTTCCTCCCTCCCTTCTCCTCCTCCTACCTCCCGCCCTCTTTCCCTCACTTATCCCTCGAACCTCCCTCCCTCCTCCCTCCTCCTTCTTCATCCCCTTCTCCTCCTCCTCCGCCTCCTCCCTCCCTCCTCATCCTCCATCATCCCTCCTCCGCTTCCTCCTCCTCCTCCTCCTCCTCCTCCTCCTCCTCCCCTCCTCCTCCTCTTTCATCCCCCCCTCCTCCTCCTCCTCCTCCTGAATCCCTCCCCTCTCCCTCCTCCTCCTCCTCCTCCTCCTCCTCCTCCTCCTCCTCCTCCTCCTCCTCCTCCTCCTCCTCCTCCTCCTCCTCCTCCTCCTCCTCCTCCCTCCTCCTCGTTCGTCACCGCATGCGCGCTCGGGCGCAGGAAGGCGAGGATGCATGCCCGAGGGAGGGGGGGGGGGAAAGCGAGAGGGGAGGGAGGCGGGGGAGGGGATCGGGGGGAGGAGGAGGGGAGAGGGGAGAGAAGGGGAGGGAGGAGAGGAGGACAGGGGGGAGCGGCGAGGGGGCAGGAGGGGAGAAGGCGGCGAGAGAGGGAGGAGAGGACAGGAGAGGAGAGGAGAGGAGAGGGAGAGAGGAGAGGAGAGGAGAGGAGAGGAGAGGAGAGGAGAGGAGAGGAGAGGAGAGGAGAGGAGAGGAGAGGAGAGGAGAGGAGAGGAGAGAACAGGCTACTGGTGAGACATTTTCCTGGCAGGCGTGCCCCCGCGCCCGGCCGACGGTCGGGACAAGCCTAGCTTGTGACGCCCTCGCCGATTCCTACCCTCCTAAAGAAATACTGCTGGGAGCCGACTCTGGCGGAGGAGGAGGAGGAGGAGGGGGAGGAAGACCGACGAACAAAAAACAGCCTTACGCGAGATAGCATGGCGACCTTGCGCGGTGGCTTAAGCGGGCCGCCAGCGCGGCATGCCACACTGAAGCGAGGGCGCTCACGCGCGCCCTTACGCGGGAAGCTTACGCGCCAATGTCGGCGCAGACGAGACCGTTTTCCTGCGTCGCTGGCGGTGCATCGGCGACGTCGGCGTGGAGAAACTTGGGCTCCAAAGCTTGCCGCACCGCCGATGCACCCGCGATGCGGCGCAGCTCCGACCCCATCTACTCCGACCCCATCTGGGACGCCTAATTAGAACATGATGCTGAACCTCCTCCTCCTCCTCCTCCTCCTCCTCCTCCTCCTCCTCCTCCTCCTCCTCCTCCTCCTCCTCCTCCTCCCCCAGCAGCAGCAGCATCATCGCCCCCTCCTCCCCCGCCTCCTCGGATTCGCACCCCGTGACGGACCCGAGCTGCCGAGCTGGGCTCTCCACGCTGCGGAACCCCTGCCGGGCCCCCGGGGGAACGACCCCGGAGCCCTTTTGCCCGCGGCCTCCCTCCGCCTCGCCCGGGAGGCGCGCGCGCGGGCCGCGGGGCCGCACTTCTGCCTCGGCAGAGCGCGCGCGCGAGGGCCGCGGGGCCTCCCCGCCGCCGCCAGGGGCAACGACAGCAGGCGGCGAGCCCGGGGGGGAAGGGAGGCCTCGGGCCTTCGGGAGAGAGCTTCCTCGCGACCGGCGCTCGGCACAAGCCGGCCCTGCCCCGCGAGGGAGCGAAGGGGGGTCTTGTGCGCCCCGGCGGCCGCCCGCGCGCCGTGGAGTACGTGCACCTTGCCGCGGGCGCCTCTGGCACGCCAGAGATCCTTCGCAGAGCCTCCCCCGAAGACACCAAAAGCTTCTCTCCGAAGGCGCGAGGGCTTCTGGGAAGACCCGCCGCCTTCTGAAGAGGCCTTGCCACGCTCACTTCCCCCCTTCGGCGCGCCGCCGAGGCAAGGAGGGACAAGCCCAGGAGGGGAAACGTCGACCTTGAACCGGCGATGCATCGCCGATGCATCGATGGCAGGCCCCCGATGGCGAATCCGAACGGTCCTGTGAGGGGTGGGGCTACCTGGCCTGTCGGCGAGGAATGCCGATTGGGGGATCAGCGCGTCCCCCCCTGAGCCTATCCCCTGTTGGTTCTCGGGTCGTGCATTGGCTCTCTGGCGGCCGTTCGGGACGATCTGGGCACCCCCGGAAAGCCCTCGGCGAGGCGCAGCTGCTGGAAGGCATTCCGAGGCTGGAAAACCGTAGAGAACCGCAAAACGCCCGAAAACCTCGAACCCCGAAACCTCGATCCTCCTCCTCCTCCTCCTCCTCCTCCTCCTCCTCCTCCTCCTCCTCCTCCTCCTCCTCCTACTCCTCGAACCTAATTATCCCCCCCCCCATCGTTGCCCCTGACCCTCTGCCTCGGCAGCCGAGGGCGCGGGCGGGCTGCCGGGCGAGTGGGGCGGGGCGCGGCCGGCGGACAAACAGCGGGAGGTCGCGCTCCCGCGTGAGGGCGAGGGAGGGAAAACGGGAGCTGGCGGCGCCCACAGGGACGTCCCAGACCCCTTCGAGTCATGACAAAACGACAGGAGGTTGTTCGCTCCTGGGGGTCCTCGCGGGGCCTCGGGCCGTCAAAACTCGGAGACCTCTGCAGAGTCGACGTTAGGAACGAATCATGACGTCGGGGGTCTGGGTCTAGGACGGCACCAACTCTACGCCTCCACCGACCCTGGCCAGGGCCATCCTGGGCCCAGGATCGATGTATGCGCTCCAATGAGAGGCCTCCCGGATGGGGTCCGCGTAGACGGGTCAGCCTCGACTGTGAGTGGTGTCCGTGCGAGAGGCGGCGCGAGGTGGGTCGGCTTCTGGGAGGGCGGGTGGGGGCCTCCGTCGGGCGCGGCCCAATCTCCTTCGGTGACCTCATCCTCGCCGTTCGAGCTCCCCTCCGGACGCACACGTACGTCTCGGGGCGAGGCGAGGGGGACGTCACGGAAGGGGGTGGTTAACGCTTAGGGGTCGGTGAGGCCGCCCCCGACTCCTGGAGGGCAGAGGAGCTCCTCAGGAGCCCGCCCCGTGCTTCGCGGGACGCCGTCTCGGGAGCCCCAGCGGGGCCCTCCGGGAGGGCCCCTGCCCTCCCCAGAAGGCCCCCCTGCCCTCTCGGAAGCCGAGCCCCCCTGGCGCCGCCCCCCGGCTGGCGCCGCCCCAAGGGGGGGAGGGGGGGGTGGCCCTGACTCTGGATCCGCCGTGCTTGGGTGGACTTTTTCCGACTTGAGCAGGGGGCAAAGCATCCACCCGCGTCATAACCACCCCGACGAGCGAGGCTGCTCAGCAAACGCGCCCAAAGAAGGAGTCGAGCAGGGCAGGGCCGTGTAGTAAACGCCCAGGGCCGTTTCGTCAACGCCATCGGGTCCGGGTGCTTCTGTCCTCCCTGGATTGGGCGAGCCTCGGAGATGATGAACCCCAAACGATGCGGACAAGAAATGGCGGTGCCCGCACCGGAGCAGCAGGGCGGACAGTGCCCGCAGACGCCGGGCGGGAGACGGCGGCGACGGCCGAGCGGGGCGGACGTCGACGCCGGCAGAGCTCGAGGCAAGCGGGGGCAGGACGCCGCCGCCCTGCCGGCGACGTCGCCCGTGCAGCCAGCACGAGCGCGGCGGATCCGGAGGCTGCGGGCGCCGCCCGAGGGGAGGGGCGGGGAGGCACGGCGCCGGAGCACGGCAGGCGCGCGCGGCGCCCTCGGCCGCGCCCTCGGCCGGGCGGAGGCCCGGCGCGCGCGCACGTCAGGCCTCCTCCTGGTCGGCCGGCGGCGCTGGCGGCGCCTGCAGCGGCGCCGTGTGCGACATCGGGAACCAGCCGCGCTCCTGTCGTGGTGAAACGCAGGAGGAGGAGGAGGAGGAGGAGGAGGAAGAGAAGGAGGAGCAGGAGGAGGAGGAGGAGGAGGAGGAGGAGGAGGAGGAGGCCACGTGATGAAACATCCTGGGGGTTCTGTGCGTCGGCGCTCGACCCCGCTCCCGGGCGTGGCGCGCGGGGCGCGCCGGGGGGTGGGGGGCGCAAGTTCGGCGGCAGCTCGCGGGGGCATCCTGTGTGTCATCTTGCTGGCTCCTGCGGACCGACGCGGGTCGACGCGCGCCGACGCTCATCGACGCTGCTCGAAGCTGAATCGATGTTGTTTTCCGGCGCTTCCTGGCGGACTACCAGACGCTAGCGCGCCGCTGGTGCGCTCTAGCAGCGGAATTGCGAGAACACACATAGCCCCCTTGAATTGACACAAGACGCGAGGGCGGCGCTCAATAAAATGTTCATCGCCTGCTCCGTGCTGTGCAGCGGGACAAGGATATCCCCGCACCGGCCCGCAGGATTCGGTGGCCGCGCTCCTGTGTCGCCTCGTTCGTGCCGTAGACCCAGCGGTGGACGTTGTGCAACGCCTGCGCCCGGATCGCGCGCGCGCGCCCCCCGCCCCGCTTCGCTACCTCCTGCCCCACACACTCCCTATTCGGCACTCCCTTCCTCCTCCCTTTCTCCTCCCTTCCTCCTCAATTTCTCCTCTCGACCTCCTCCCTTCCTCCTCCCTTCCTCCCTTCCTCCTCCATTCATCCTCCCGTCCTTTTCCTTCATACCTTTTTCCTCCTCCGATCCTCCTCCTCCTCCCCTCCATTCCTCCTTCTGCGAATTTAACAGGACGATGGCACTGAGGATTGAGGTCTGTTTCACAGGAAGCGGTCGACGTTGAACTACAAAGCCATGTCACACCGCTTGACGGCGGTTACAACTACTTGAACCAAATGCCACGGATTGCACAGGTATCTGAGGGGCTACACTGAAATACCCCCCCTCGCCCTGATGAGGTCGGGTAAATTACGTGCAACCTTATGTAAGGCCACATGCCAAGAGCGGAAAGCGAGCAAAGTCAACGGCACAACAGCTGCGACGTAGTGAGCGAGAGGAAATGCGTCAGGGCTCGGAGCTGAGATAGTATAAAGCGCGTGCAGAGTCAAGTTAAGAGACGCGAGGACTGTGCAGAGCAAATGCAGCATGGAAGCGTATGGCGGGATCTCCGCTACACTTTCATGCGTCACCGCTGCCAAGCACACGAACATGAATCTAGAGCTGCTATTGGCTACACGCGCGACAGACCTTGGAGAGAGACGAGGTCGGAAAAAACACGGGCCGCGCATGCTCACCCACCTGGGCCTTCTCGAGCGTGGCCTCGGCCTCTTGCCCTCACCACCGGCCCTGGTGCTCTGCATCATCTCGCGCTTACGGCTAGTGAGCTGCTCCATCATCCGGCGACGGACGCTGTCCATTAGGAACTGATCATTCTCCAAGCGGTTGGCCTCCTCGTCACTATCGGCCCAGGCCCCCAGCCCGGCCGCCACACTGTCCTTGGGAAGTTTCTCGCCGTCGTGTGCCCATTGCCGGCATGCCTTCCGACTGCCCTCCAGTACAGTCTGGGTGACGAAAGTCTAGTGTGACTCACTCACGCTTACGGCCCCGCCACCTCTCGTCATAGTTATCGCCCGACCAGGAGTCCACAACCCAGATTTGGTTAGTGGCCCACGTGTGGCCATCCCTTGCTGGCAGCTGGGCCGGCTTGACGATCTTCTCGTCCTCGTGGACGCGCGCCCTTGCATTTGGGCGGGCCCACTCTTAGCCATGGCTGAAAATAGAAGGCCGCGGAAACCGCGAGGCTGGCACGTGGCTATGGAGAGGGCAGCGCAGCGCTAGGCTCACGGAGGGCTCTCTGCACCGGTCTTGGGGCTGACCTGGGCCATCTGTGGCCGAACATGCCCGAACACTGCGCCATTAGGTTTAAGTCGGGCCTGTCCCCCTACAGGGGGATGTCCGACGAAAAAATAGAAAACACCCCAAACATAGTCCAAAAATAGTCCAAGAATAGTCTGGGGACGATTTGTTGAGCTTTTGTTTACCTTTTTGGAGTATTTTTGGGGGTATTTTTTTTTCCGTCAAAAATCCCCCTGTAGGGGGACACGCCCGACATAACGTTAGATCTGGGCCCGCCGAGGCCAACCCCTTCACACTCCCCTCTTGTTCCCAACCATCCTGTGGTGTTGGGTCTTCGCTTTGGGAGAGACAGCGCCCCGCGTCGCTCACTCCTTCCCTCCTTCCTTCCTCCTCCCCCTCCTCCTCCCTCCTCCCCCTCCTTCCCTCTGCCCTCCGCATGTACCTGTTTCGGCGCACCCCTCACACGCTTCGTGGCCCCAGTGGGAGCTCCACCGACTGCCCCAATAGCTGCGTTCGCATGCGCCCACCGAACCCATCGGTACACCCCTCACACGTTTCGTGGCCTCGTAGGGAGTTCCACCGAAGGCGCCAGTGGCTGCGTTCGCATGTACCCACCTCACACATTTGGGCACAACCCTCACACGCTTCGTGGCCCCACAGGGAGCTCCACCGACGACCCTTGTGGCTGAATTCGCATGCACCCACCGCACCGCACACCCTCACACGCTTCGTGGTCCCATGGGGAGCTCCACCGACGGCCCCAATAGCTTCGTTCGCATGCGCCCACCGCACCCATATTGGCACACCCCTCACACGTTTCGTGGCCCCTCACACGCTTCGTGGCCCCATAAGGAGCTCCACCGACGGCCCCACCGGCTGCGTTCGCACGCGCCCACTGCACCAATTTTGGTACACCCCTCACACGTTTCGTGGCCCCACAGGGAGCTCCACCGACGACCCTTGTGGCTGCATTCGCATGCACCCACCGCACCGCACACCCTCACACGCTTCGTGGTCCCATGGGGAGCTCCACCGACGGCCCCAGTGGCTGCGTTCGCATGCGCCCACCGCACACATTTTGGCACAGCCCGCGCACGGTTCGTGGCCCCACAGGGAGCTCCACCGACGGTCCCACCGGCTGCGTTCGCATGCGCCCACCGCACCCACTGGTACACGTTACCGCTCACACGTTTCGTGGTCCCATGCGGAGTCCCACCGAAGGTGCCAGTGGCTGCGTTCGCATGTGCCCACCGCACACATTTTGGCACAGCCTTCACACGCTTCGTGGTCCCATGGGGAGCTCCACCGACGGCCCCAATGGCTGGGTTCGCATGCGCCCCCCGCACCCATTTTGGCACAACATCACACGTTCCGGGGGCCCACAGGGAGCTCCACCGAAGGTCCACAGGCCAGCGCTCGCATGCGCCCTCCGAACCCATTTCGGCACACCCCTGACCCGCTTCGCGGCCCCATAGGGAGCTTCACCGACTGCCCGTGGCTGCATTCGCATGCGCCCACCGCACCAATTTTGGAACGCTTCGTGGTCTCATATAGGGGGCTCCACCGACGGCCCCAATGGCTGCGTTCGCATGCGCCCACTGCACCCATTTTGGCACACCCCTCACACTTTGCGTGGCCTCACAGGGAGCTCCACCGACGGCGCCAGTGGCTGCGTTCGCATGCGCCCACCGCACTCATTTTGGCACACCCCTCATACGTTTCGTGGCCCTATGGGGAAGCTCCTTCGAATGCGGTGTATACAACGACGGTGCTCACAACTGCATACGGTTGGGTCCTTCGCCGGGCTAATTCGTTTGCCCGGCGAGCGGATCTCGACGCTACGCGCGCTTACCGTCATCCGCCGCCGCAACCTGGCGATTTATCACAAAGGTGCCTGCCGTGCTGGACGTCTGGCAGGTCTGGGGTTCTTTCCTCAAGAACTCCCACTAGGGCTTCGGCCCAACTCACAGACCACCCAGAAAGCCACCGAAAATCCACCCCTCGTTGCCCAAATCGCCTCCAAGACGGACAAGATGGCCCAAGATGGCCTCCAAGATGCCCCCCATGACGTGCAAGACGGCCCCAAGAGAGCCGAAGGTGGCACCACAATGGTCTCCAAGGCTGTCCTAAGGTGCCTCCAAGACCGCCAAGATGGTCCAAGAGAGCCCAAAACGGCCCAAGAAGCGCCCAAGAGGCCCCTAAGACGGCCCAAGAGGTCTCCCAGAGGTCCTCCAGGAAGGCCCGACGAGGCCAAAATCATGGATGTCCCTCAGGTGTTTGAAGGATTGGGGCGCTTGCTTCAAACGGGCATCCAACGGGCCCAAGACGGTCCTGGCGGGCCCAAACTGTGCCCCAAGATCGCGCAAGAGGCCTCCAGCCCCAGGACGGCCCAAGAGGCTCCCAAGACGGCCCCCAAAGGGCCCATAGACGGCCCAGGAGGTCTCCAAGACGCCCAAGACGGCCTTCAAGATGATCCTGAAGCGCCCAAAGAGGGTCCCAAAACGGCGGCTTCCGACGGCGTCAGATGGGCCAGGGACGCCGTAAGACGGCCAAAGAGGCCTCTAAGAAGCCCCCAAAGGCCCCCAGGAGGTTCAAGGACGCCCCCAAGAGGCCTCCAAGAAGCCCCCAGGAAGCCCCCAGGAGGCCCAAATAATGACCCAAGAAGCTCCCAAGAGGTCTCCCCATCCTTCTCCTCATCCTCCTTTTTCCACCCTCAGGTGGTTGGGATGCATGCTGGCCGTCGGTGGGTCTGGTACGCACCATCTGGACGTGGACTACCACTTGGCGTCGGCAAACAAAGCCTTCTTTGCCAACAGAGCCATACTGTGCGACCGGAATGTCTCTCTCTGTGCTCGCCTTGAGTTTTTTGGTCGCGTGGTAACGTCTGTGGCTTGTTTCGGCGCTGGTGTCTGGAAGCCGTACAGCGACTCTTTGCGCAAAGTGGACGTTGAATTCCGTCGACTGCTGAGGCAAGTCGTTGGCCCGCCGGCGGGCGTGGACTGGTCACAACCCTGGCATGAGATTTTACATGTATGGCACGACAGACTCCATCAAATACTGACGGAAGCTGGCATTCGGACGTGGTCCAGAGAATCACTGAAGATTTGGGATCTTGCAGGATGCGTTGCGCGTGTACCCCCGGACCGGTGGGTGCAGAGAGCCTGGAGGTGGACGCCGCCTGGGTCGCGCTCAGAGGGCCGTCCTCTGTTATCATGGGATGCGAAGCTGGTGGCATTTAGCCGTGCGGATCACATCGGATCCTGGCAGGACGCTGCGCACGATGGCGCCGCGTGGGCAGACATGACCGACGACCTCCTGGACTTCTGCTCGCGGGCAGGCGCGCCGCCCCCTGCGTGCAGGATGCGGCGCTTCCTCCCCCCTCCCTCCTCCTGCTTGTCCGAGCTGTGCACTGGCACCTGCGTTTCCCTCGCGCCCTTTCTGGGCCCGCCCTCGTGCGAGCGGGGTGAACGAATGAAATCCTCCTCTTCCTCCCCCACGTGTTCTCCCAAGGGCTTCCACAACGACTGGGGGAACGCATGGTCCAATAGCGTGGCCAAAATTTGCCCAAACGTTTGGCCACACAGGCGTATCCGAAAAGGCAGGGGGCGGCGGCGATTCGCCGCAGGCGTCTTCGATACGCATGCGTGGAGCAACGTCAGGATCCTGCCACCCTCTCGTCCCCGCTCCTCCTCACCCGCGCTCCTCGTCGGGGTCGTGCGCGATGGTGACCTCGTCGTTCACCGACAGCTTCAGCTCGGCGCTCGTATCCGGCTCGAAGAGCCGCACCACCACGCGCCTCGAGGGCTCCGCCTTCGCGGGGCGCTGGCGACCAGAGTGCCCCCTCCTCCTCCTCCTCCTCCTCCTCCTCCTCCTCCTCCTCCTCCTCCTCCTCCTCTGCTCCTGCTCCTGTTCCTGCATCTGCTTCTGCTCTCCTCTCCTCCTCCTCATTCTCCTCCTCCTTCCCCAGGCCCGCGAAGAGTTCCTGAGTTGTACCATCTGTTGGTGCCTGAGGCTCACGTCCCCCCCTCCTAGCTTGAGCTCATTCCTCCAATCGACCGAAATCGACAGGCCGAACGCAGCCTAGAAGGGCGCAACGACGCAGCAGCGACACAACCACCGAGCGAGCCGAACGGACCCAACGCAACCGCCTGCGACGCAGCCGAACCGAACCGTGAAGACCCTTGCTGGACACATGCTCCCCTCCCCCTTGACAGCGCCCGGGGCCGCCGCCGTGCTCCTCCCAGCCGTGACCCGGCTCGAGGCCGCGCTGTTGGCGTAGGCCGTGCTCGGGGCATACACGGCGCTGGGCGCGTAGGCGGCGCTGGGCGCGTAGGCGCTGTTGCTGCGCGCGCCGCCGGGCTCGGACCCGGGCCTGCCTCGGGGGGGGGGGGGGAGGACAGGGGTGGGTGGGAATGGGGATGGAGAGAGGGGATGGGGATGCGGATAAGGGGGAGGGGGCGGGATGGCGAGGGGGGATGTGGATGCGAAGGGGGGAGGAGAGGGAGGAGGGGGAGGGGAGGAGGGGGAGGAGGAGGACCATCGCACGGCTTCAGGAAGGGTTCGACTCCGCCAAGGCCGCGGCTCGAGCGCTTGAATGGAAACACTCGGGGCTGCCTGACCGATGGGGATTGGGGCCTTAAAAGTCACTGGGCTCCTCTTTGAGCTCTTAGGGTGACGCCCAGGAGAAGGAGGAGGAGGAGGAGGAGGAGAGCCAGGAGGAGGAGGACCAGGAGGAGGAGGACCAGGAGGAGGAGGAGGAGGAGGAGGAGGAGGACGGCAAGACAAGATGAGTCGAGCCCAACACGTCGTCAACTGCACGAAACGTACTGATAACAGCATGGTACACCGGCATCAGTCCAGCTCTGGCCCTACCCGAGCACAGGCCCCTTCTCTCGCAGGCGCGCGCGCGCCAGCAAGCGCTGCGGCACTGCAGGGGCCCCTCCCCTCGGCAGGCTAGGGGCAGATGTGCACTCGTATATGGATTCGGTGTGCTTCCTATTGCTGAGGAGGGGGAGCAAGGTTTTGCTCCCCCTCCTCCTCCTCCTCCTCCTCCTCCTCCTCCTCCTCCTCCTCCTCCTCCTCCTCCTGTTGAGTGTTGCCTGTTGGCTGGAGCGTCGTGCCGACGCAGCCCTTTCCCCCAGGGCCGGTCGGCCCTTGGGGGGGCGATCAGACCAGACAGTCTGGAGGCGGTTGCCACCGGCTGTGAGGAGAATACCCCGTACGGGTGACAGACAGGGAGCAGGGAGAGGAAGGGGAGAGACAAACGTCCATCATCACCTCCTACTCCTGCTCCTGCTCCCGCTCCTCCTCCTCCTCCCCCTCCTCCTGCTCCTGCCCCTCCTCCTCCTCCTCCTCCTCCTTCTCCTCCTTCTCCTGCTCCGCTCCTCCTCCACTCCTTTTCCTTCTAAATACACTCTCCCTGTCGCACCCCGAGGCAAGTTTTAGGGCGGACCGGGCGTTTCGCGAGACGCCCTCACCATGTATGACCTGGAGCTGAAGATCCGGCAGCAGTTCCACAGCACAGATGGAAGGCGGGTCGTTTTCAAGATGTGGTTCTCGCCTTCGCGCCGCGCACATTCGTTCGAAAACATTGCAAGAGTTTCACGGATTGAGGTCGAATGGTTTTCAAAATGTGGCTCTCGCCTTAGCGCCGCGCACATTCGCTTTAAACAAAATGCAAGAGTTTCACGGATTGAGGGCGGATGGTTATCGAAATGTGGTTCTCGCCACAGCGCCACGCACATTCGTATTAACATGTTGCAAGAGCTTCACGCATTGAGGGCGGGTCGTATTCAAAATGTGGCTCTCGCTTTAGCGCCGCGTGCATTCGTGTTACGAATGTGCAAAGGCTTCACGGATAAAGCGCGGGTCATTTTCAAAATGTAACTCTCGCCTTAGCGCAACGCGCATTCGCTTAAAAACATTGCGGGGTCTTCACGGGTTGAGGGCGGGTGGTTTTCAAAACGTGGCTCTCGCCTTAGCGCCGCGTGCATTCGTTTTACAAATGTGCAAGAGTTTCACGGATTGAGGGCGGCTCCTTTCCAAAAGGTGGCTCTCGCCGTAGCGCCGCGCATATTCGTTTAAGAATTGCAACTTCACGGATTCCCATGATCACGGATTCCCATGATCGACGTACCAGAATTTCTGTTCTGGAAAGATTCAGGATTATGAGGTCGCAACGGTTACGTTGATTCGTGGTGTTGAAGTCCCAAGAATGGCGTTTTGGCACGATTCTGGATCGTCAAGACGCAACAGTCAGGCTGATCCGTGGCGCTGGAATCCCGAGAACGATGTTTTGGCATGCTTCAGAGTCTTCAAACGGTTGTCTTCCGACGAGCCCGTTTCCTGTGGAAATGGGCCGCTGTAGGGGCCTATGAAAAGGGAGCTTGGAGGGAGGGCTTATTCCAAAATCGTGCATGACTCTTGGGTTTACATTGGTCCTCTTCCTCCTCCTCCTCCTCCTCCTCCTCCTCCTCCTCCTGAGAAGGCCTGTGTCCGCCGCCGTGCACAGGGGCCATGACAGGGGGGGGGGGATAGGCCCAGGGGGAGGTGCATCGACCCCCAGACGCCCACCGATCGCCGCCAGGGGAGGAGGAGGCGAATGAGGAGGAGGAGGAGAACCAGCAGTGCAAATCCAAGACTCATCAACGATCTTGAAATACACATTCCCTCCAAGGTCCCTCTGCATAGGCCCCTACAGGGGGGCATTTCCACTGAGGGAATTGCACCGTGGGGGGACAACCGTGTGAACATCCTGAGGCGTGCCCAAGCACTATTCTCAGGACTTCATCGCCAGGAGTTAACCTGACTGTAACGTCTTGGCGATCCTGAATCGCGCCAGAGCACCAGTCCTGGTACTTCAACACCGCGAACATACGTAACCGTGGCGCCCTGACAACCCTAAATCATTCCAACACCCTGTCTGGTACGTTAACCAGAACCAACGAAACTCTTGCAAATGCTTAAAGCGAATATTATGATATACGCAACGCTACGGCGAGAACCACATTTGAACCACCCCCAATCCGTGAAACTTCTGCAATGTTTTAAACAGAAAATGTGCGCGGCGCTAAGGCGACAACCACATTTTGCAGACGGCCCGCCCTCAACCCGTGAAACTCTTACAATTCGTTGTAACCGAATGTGCGCGGCGCTAATGCGAAAACCACATTATGATAACGAACCGCCCTCAATCTGAGAACTCTCGGGCAAATATCTAAAAACAAACAAACAGTGTGCGCGGCGCTGAAGCGAGCACCACATTTTGAATACGACCCGCCCTCAATCCGTGAAGCTCTTGCACATGGTTAAGACAAATGTGCGTGGCGCTGTGGCGAGAACCACATGTTGATAACCACCTGCCCTCAATCCGTGAAGCTCTCGCAATTTGGTTAAACTAATGTGCACTGCGCTAGGGCGAGAACCACATTTTGAAAACGATCCGCCCTCGATCCGCGAGGTTCTTGTCAATGCTGAAGCACCAGGGCCATAAATGGTGAGAAAACCTCGAACGAAACGCCACGCCTTCTTTCGACCGGCCTCGGAGTGCGACAGGGAGGAACTGTCTATGAGGAAGAGTATGAAGGAAGAGGACGAGGAGGAGGCGGAGGAGGAGGAGCAGGAGGAGGAGGAGGACGAGGAGGAGGACGAGGAGGACGAGGAGGAGGAGGAGGACGAGGAGGAGGAGGAGGAGGAGGAGGAGGAGGAGGAGGAGGAGGACGAGGAAAAGTATGAAGGAGGAGGCCGCGCACCCAGCCCCCGGCACCGCCCATCGGGGACCGCCAAAGGTGCTCCTGGCCCAAGGTGCCCCCCGCTTTTCGCTGCCTGTGGAGGCCCTTGGGGCCCTCTGGGCCATGTAAGGCGTGCTCTGGGGGCCGCATGGGCCTCTCTAGTAATCCTGGGGACATGACCAGGGACACCTCTAGCAGCTCCCGAACCAAGACGGATTTCAGTGGCATCGTGCTGGGCAGCAGGAACAGGAACTGGCGCACCTGTCAACCGGCACCACCACGATTACGCTTTTGGCGGTGCCAGAACAAGATCCGGCGCACCCAGCACCTGGCACCATCAAAACGACTATTATCTGCACATGTTGCCCTTGCCGCGACCTTTGTCGTGCTGGGGGCGGGGAGGTGGGTCTGGGCGAGGAGTGAGCAATCGAAACTTTAGCTCTTGGGTGAACTGGCACTGGCTGGCTAGGTCTCATGGTCTGTGGGAGGAGGAAGGAGGGGGGAGGAGGGGAGCGCAGTACCCGCCGCTCGCCCCCCCTTGCCTTCCTCAGGGGCTGGGGGTTCTAAGGGGAGCTCGCAGCGGAGGCGCGCAAGACGTGGGAGCGGTCCGCCCGATGCCCATCTCATCGTCGCTTCATCTGGCGCTGACGCTGACGCTGCCAGCAAGAGTGTCCACGCGTGGAGGCGAAGCGAGGTGGGGCCAGAGCGCCCAAACGCAAGCTAAACCGATAATGACTTCGTCGTCAGCATCATCAACAGCAATACTATCACCACCATCGCCATCCTCCTCCCCCTCGTCCCCCTCCTCCTCCTCCACCTTCTCCTCCTCCTCCTCCTCCTTCTCCTCCTCCTCCCCTTCATCATCATCACCATCATCACCACACTCATCACCGCCGTCCTCATCTTCATGATCATGATGATCATCATCATCATCATCATCATCATCATCATCAGCAGCAGCATGAGCATCATCAGCAGCACAATATGTTAAACATGATCATCATCATTCTGACAGTCGTCGTCATCAGCATTATCATCACCATCACCCTTACCATCACCATCATCATCACCACCATCATCATCATCATCATCATCATCATCATCATCATCATCATCATCATCACCATCACCATCTTCATCATCATCATCATCATCATCATCATCATCATCATCATCATCATCACAATCATCAGCATCAGCATCATCAGCAAAAGCAGCATCGTCAGTATCGTCGTCGTCATCCTCATCCACATCACCATCATCATCTTCATCATCGTCACCATCACCATCATCATCTTCGTCAACATCATAATCGTCATCATCTTCAGCATCGTCGTCATCGTCATCATCATCGTCATCATCATCGTCATCATCATCATCATCGTCATTGTCATCGTCATCGTCATCATCATCATCATCATCATCATCATCATCATCATCATCATCACCATCACCATCACCGTTACCGTCACCGTCATCATCACAGTCGTCGTCGTCGTCGTCTTCGTCGTCGTCGTCACCGTCACCATTATTATCACCACCTGGGACCGCAATCATCGCCCGGCTGCACCGTCACCATTATTACCACCAGGATGACGATGACGGCCAGGTCGCGCGGCTGCACCGTCTCGGTACCGATAATGACTTCGTCGTCAGCATCATCAACAGCAATATTATCACCACCATCGCCATCCTCCTCCCCCTCGTCCCCCTCCTCCTCCTCCTCCTCCTCCTCCTCCTCCTCCTCCTCCTCCTCCTCCTCCTCCTCCTCCTCCTCCTCCCCTTCATCATCACCGCCGTCCTCATCTTCATGATCATGATCATGATCATCATCATCAGCAGCAGCATCAGCATCATCAGCAGCACAATATGTTAAACATGATCATCATCATCATCATTATGACAGTCGTCGTCATCATCATCATCATCACCATCAACATTACCATCACCATCACCATCACCATCACCATCTTCATCATCATCATCATCATCATCATCATCATCATCATCACAATCATCAGCATCAGCATCATCAGCAAAAGCAGCATCGTCAGTATCGTCGTCGTCATCCTCATCCACATCACCATCATCATCTTCATCATCGTCACCATCACCATCATCATCTTCGTCAACATCATCATCGTCATCATCTTCAGCATCGTCGTCATCGTCATCATCATCGTCATCATCATCGTCATCATCATCGTCATTGTCATCGTCATCGTCATCATCATCATCACCATCACCATCACCGTCACCGTCACCGTCATCATCACAGTCGTCGTCGTCGTCGTCGTCGTCGTCACCGTCATCATTATTATCATCACCGCCACCCCTGCCATTGCTGTGGGCAAGGCGCTCGCCGCGAGTGCATCCTGGAGGATGCCTGCGCTTGCCCTTTACGTATATAGGGAGTCGGGGTTCATCATTATCATCATCATCCTCCTCCTCATCGTAATCATCAGAAGCAGCAGCAGCATCATCAACACCATCATCATCATCATCATCATCATCATCATCATCATCATCATCACCATCATCATCATCATCATTCGCCTCCTCATCATCGTAATCATCAGCTGGATCATCATCATCATCATCACCACCATCATCATCAGCACCATCATCATGATCATCATGATGATCATCATCGTCATCATCATCATCATCATCATCATCATCATCATCATCACAGTCATTATCATCAGCAGCAGCAAAATCATCATCAGCATCATCATCAGCATCGGCATCATCATGATCGTCATCATCATGATGATCATCATCACCACCACCACCATCATCATCATCATCATCATCATCATCATCATCATCATCATCATCATCATCATCATCATCATCATCAACATCAGCATCAGCATCATATTCATAATCGTCTTTGCCACCATTGTCATCGTCCTCCTCTTCAACACTGTCAGCATCCCCATCACTGGCATCCTCATCATCATTAACATCATCATCCGGCTGCTTCTCCTGCTGCTCCTACAGCTGCGGCTGCTCCTCCTCGCCCTCCTCAGACCATCCGTGGCCGACGACCTGAGGGCTAGCCCTGGAGGGCCAGCCATCAGCCAACAGTTATCAGTCACACTGAAATGGCACAGAAGGTGGCCTGTTTCGCAGGGTCGGAGGGGAGCATGTGAATTCCGCCCGTTGGTGAAACGCTTACTCCTGCAGAGCACGCTAAAATGACCAGGAAGGTGGAGAGAGAGGGAGCACAGGGGAGAGGGCGAGGAAGGCGAGTAGGATGAGGACGAGGTGGAGGACTCGGAGCAAGACGAGGAGGGGACGAAGCAGCAGCAGAATAGGCCGGAGCCTGAGGGAAAGGGGAAGGAGGGAGGATGACGGATGGATGGATGGGAGGGAGGGGGAGGAGGGAGGAGGGAGGAGGGAGTAGGGAGGAGGAGGGAGGGGGAGGAGGAGGGAGGAGGGACGAGGATGGATGAGCCGGAGCACGCAGGAAGTGCGGCCGGCAGCCCATGATGCCTGCGGAGCGGCCGTGGCTGGTCGTCGAGCGGGCGCCATCGTTGGCCTCCCTGGCGAAGCCCGCGATGGCGTTGAGCAGGGACCTGACCTGGTGGGGCTTCCCGATGATGTGCACCCTCTTGTTCGCGGCCTTGAAGTGGATCCGGCCGCTGTCGTTGTCGCCCTGCTTCCACTCGACGCCGTCCTCGCTGAGCACGATGTTGTCGCCCACGACGAGCCCGAGCTGCACCTGGAGCTTAGCCTTGAACTCCTCTCGGCGACTTCGGAGGGTGTGGTTTGCAGAGGGTGTGGCTTGCAACCCGGCACCCTTGGGGGGGGGACTCTGGGGGGCGGGCGGAGATCTCGATAGAGTTCTCCGCCGCGCCCCGAGGAGGCCCGGCGAGGACAGTGTCGTGCCCCCGAGGCCCCAACGGCGCCGATCGCAAACCACACCCCGGCGTAACCTCATCCCTTGTATGAGGGGCACCGATAGGGGGGGACTGGCAGAGGGGGGGACTCGTCGACCTGGAGTCGGCGATACAGCGCCGACAGATCGGCGACAGGCCCCCGAGAGTGAATCCGCACGATCCTGGGCAGCTTGGGGCTATCGGGCACCCCTCGGCGATCCATACGCGCTTGGGGGTCGATGCATCCCCTCCTATGCTCAGGTCGGGCATGTCCCCCTACAGGCGGATTGTGGACGAAGCATAACAAATATTCAAAGAGTATTCAAGCAAAGTCAAAAATCGTCCCCGTACGATTTTTTCTACTACTTTTGAATACTCCTCCCGTGGAGGGACACGCCCGACTTAAAACCCTGTGCCGCCCATGCCTATCCCCCCTCCTTGTCGTTGCCCCCGATTGTAGTCGCCAGTCCTCGGCGGTGCCGTCGAATGCCCGCTCCACCGTCATCAGGCGCTCCCTCTCCTGGGGCTTCTGCGGGTCGCGGGGCCGCGCCCGTCGCTCGCCGTCGCCGTTGTCGCTGCCGCTCTTCGTGCGCACCTTCACCGCCCCGTTCGGGTTGCGGTTCTGCAGCGACGTGAAGGACATGCAGCTCCGCGGTTGCCTCTCGCCCTCCGTCTCCTCCTCCCCCTCCTCTTCTGCCTCCGCCTCCTCCTCCTCCTCCTCCTCCCTCCCTCCTCCTCCAACTCCTCCTCCTCCTCCTCCAAATCCCCCGCCTACTCCTCCTCCTCCTCCTCCCTCCTCCTCCTCCTCCTCCTCCAACTCCTCCAACTCCTCCTCCTCCTCCTCCTCCTCCTCCTCCTCCTCCTCCTTGATACTTCGACTCCTCCTCCTCCGCCTCCTCCTCCTCCTCTCCCTCCTCCCTCGCCCTCCCTTCTCCGCTGCTCCTCCGCCTCCTCCTCCTCGTTCACCGCTGCTCCACCACCTGTCCTTGTTTGACAGGGAAGCGCCGCCGAACAAGTTTTTGCGTGCTCTCGCAAACCTGCGGGCAACAGGGCACGACACGCTCCAGTCCCTGAGGCCTCGTCTCGAAAACAAACACGGCACGGTCACGGTGTCTACACGCACACCCGACCATTGCTCGCTCTGGTGATGGTCGCTGCCCCGCTGCCCAAGGTGCTGAATTCCGGCGGCACTGCCAACGCCAGGGACGCAACCACTGTTGGAGCAGAACTCTAGACAGGGGCCCGGGGACACACAAACAACTAGACACAGATCCCAGGACCCCCCACACTGTCCCATGTGTTCTGGGTGTTCGTCTTCTCCCCCACTTCCCATGTGTTCCAACTTTTTCCTGGGAATCGACGATTCAGTGTGTCAGAGTTGTTTTTCCTCCTGAAACTGTTGAGTGGCAACACCCCCAATGTGTAGCCTGAGCGAGTCTGGCGACAGTGTGCCTCCTCACCGCTTCACACCAATGGCATACTCAAACTGCTGGTCCACTCGTGTTATATGCCCTCGGGCACCACTTGATGGGGCCTAAATCCGCCGACCCTGTCGGCGCGTGTGAGGCGTTTTTCCGTTTGAGCTGCCGTCGCCACTCTGCCCCGTTCCCTGGGCCCTCCTCCTCGAGCGACCCAGCCAGACGAGAATCGAACGACGTCGAAATCGAGCCGAATGGAGGCCTCGTCCCGTTGATCCCTCTTCCCCGCGCCGGGGGTGGTGGGGGTCCAGGGGGGGGGGTCCTGGGGGTCGTGACCCAAGACGGCCCAGGACAGCCCCGCAGAGCCGCAAGAGGGGGAGCACCACTCGAGGCAAACGGCAGGCCCCTGACCCCTTCCCCGCCAGGGGGGGGGCGGCGGTCCTGGCAGGAGATCGCCGGGGGCGGTCCCTGGGGAGTCCCAGAGGCGAGGCCAACGGGGCCCACGAGGGCCTCCACGAGGGCCTCCACGAGGGCCTCCACGAGGGCTCGCGAGAGTCGTCGGCGTCGTCGCTGTCGTCGCCTTCGTCGTCCCCATTGAGGGTCGGCGGCACCAACCGTAAGGCCTTCGCAATATGTGATCGCAAAACTTTGTGAATTATTGCATTGTACGTGTCTGCCCTGGTACATATGCCGTCTTGCTCGCACTGAGCGTGCGTCACAGCTAGGTCGGCGTTCCCAAAGCCTGCCTCTACTTCGTCGTTCGCCACAAGCTCGGCTTGAATACGGCCCCCGACGAGAGACTAATTACAGAAAGGGGTGTCCTGACCCGGAGGCGTGGTTTCTTAGTTCGGCGCTGGACCCCCCGCCCCGGCGCGCAGAGCGCGCCAGCGCCGCGAGGGTGGGCCCAGCGCAGATCCAGGAACTCCGCGAGGACCTCCAAAGGCTTAGGCTTGTGCACTCGGCGCCTTGTGCTTCGACTCGTCGCTCCCTCCTCCCCATCACTCCTCCTCCCCTTCGTGCACACCCCCAGCAGCGATGCCCTCTGGCATCTCTCTGCGGACCTCCGAGATCCGAGTTCCGAATTCCTCCTCCCCTCCTCCCTCTCTCATCCTCGCCATGCGGCGGCCTCTCGCCCTTCCACTGTATGCCCTTCCACTCCGTCACGGGCGTGCCCGCGTCGCACCGGATGCACCCTATCTTCAGCCAGTCCACGCCCTGCAGACCGTTGTCCGACCCCAGCTCCGGCTCGCAGATGGACTCGACGCTCTCCACCTCGCCCTCCTTGTAGTTGAAGCGGAAGACGCCCACCGGCTTGAGGGGCCTCTGCTCCGGCTTCTTCAGGGGCGCCGGCGACACGCGGTCGC